TTTTTTTTTTTTTTTTTTTTTTTTTTTTGAATATTCCTTTGTATATTGAAAATGTATTTATTTAAAAAAGCTAAAGATTCTATTATAAATTCTTTACAGTATGATAGTTTTTCACCATTAGTAAAATTAAATTATATATGCAAATGTATTCTTAAGTATNGCACTTACAGTTTTTTTATTTAATTGTAGAAAAAGAGAAAACATATTTTCATTTATCATATGAACAGCAATATAGCTTTTTTTTTAACTTTTAGATATTGTAATTATTTTTTTTTTTTTTTGTGTAGAAATACAAGCATGTTTTTTTCAAAAATAATATTTTACAGACAAATATATAAAAAATGAAATAAAGGATTTACATTTTATAGTACTTGTGTGCATAATAATGCATAAGTTTTTATATAATTTTAAAAGAAAAAAAAACCATTGTATTTTGTGTTTTACTGAATAAATTCCACTAATTTTTTTTTTTTTTTTTTTTTATGTGTGAATATAAATAGTAATATGTGTGTTTTCTTAGAATGCACACAATATTGTCGTATTAATTTTTTTTCTTTTTGTTATAAATGGTTATCTCTATAAGAATTATAATTTTATTTTTGTAATACCAAAGAAATTATTCAGTTCATATGTATTTTTATTTAGCTTAATTATTTTTTCTTTTTTATTAAATTCTTTTAACTTCCTATTAAATTATATTTTTAATTTTTTAATTTTTAGTGTTAATGCTTTTTTTTATTCTATATTAAATACAACTTATTTGGGTTCATATAATTCGTATATATCATTGATAAATGTAAAATTCTCTAATGCGTGCAAGTTATATTTTTTTTTATATCCATGCTTTTACAAAAAACAAATAAAAAGTGTTCTTATAAGAGAAATGTATAGTGCTTTTATATTAACTTATTCTATTAATATATATTTCTTATAATCAGTATGATTCTTTATATTTCTTTTTATCTTTTTAAATATTGTAGGATAAACTAAAATTTTTAATAAAGTAATAAATATAAGTGTAGAAAACATAATAATATATTGGTTTAAACAAAATGAATTTTAATAGTTTATTATTAAATAAAATAGTATAAAGGGATAAAAAATACCTATATTTTTTATATACATAATATATAAATTCTATTAATAATATAATTGATAATTTTATTATATTCATTATTATATAAAATGAAAAAATTAATTATAAATATTCCAAGCATTATAAGTAATTCTATTTAAAAATGAAACTAATTTAAGTCTATAAGATTATTATGTAGCATATAATAAAAATACTAAAAAAAAATTCTATAACATTATATTATAAAGATAGAATATATATATATATATATATATTTAGAATAATAAAAAAAAGGAATATATACTTTTTTCTCTAAAGATGTATAATAAAAAAGACAAAGCATTTTTATGGGACAAATTTTATTAATAAAATTATGCATAACGTAACTTAAAAATTACAAATATCAGAAAAAAGATGGAAAACGATAAGGAATAAAAATAAAAGTAAAAAAAAAAAAGAAACAAAAATAAAATATGGTAGGAAATAAATAATAATAAATCAAAAAATACAAAGACAAAAAAAAAGGAAAAGAAAATGGGAAAAGAATGTTTTTTTAAGATAAGTTATTAGTTATGACAAAAGATATAATATTTTTAAGAAAAATATGAATTGTTATACTTAAAAAAAAAAAAAAAAAGAAGTAAAATTCAAAATATATTTAAAAATAAAGAATATTATTTTTACTCCAATTTAAACAAAATATATAAAAAAGAAAAATACATATTATTTCCAATTTAAAGCCCATTCATGCAATTTGTCTACAACAACAGGAAATAGTGTTTTAACTGACGCATTAATGACACTTAAGAAATATATTTCTGCTGCTTCATCATTTAAGTCAAGTCTAAACTTTTCTTGAACTTTTAAAACACATAATTCAGGGCTTGTTTTCATATCTTTGAGTCCTGATTCACACATAGCATCTAATAAACTTATTATAAGTTTTGAATGATATCTTAAATATTTATAACCTAAACAACATTTTTTTAAAAATTGTTCATAACCTACGCTGTGAGCTCCACCCATTGCTTCAATCATTTCTTTACATAATTTCATAGGAGGAGAAAAAGGTTTTGGATCTTCTCCAAAAATATATCCAAAATCAATATGAAAAAAACAACCATCTTTTGAGACCATCAGGTTATCTAAATGCCTATCACCTATTCCTAATATATATGTTATTACACTATAACCTGCACAACTTGATATGAAATTTTCTAATTTTTGCGCATCAAATCCTAAGGGGGGATTAGGATCAGAACTATTATCAATAAAATACTGCCTAATCTCTCCTTTATAATTTTTTTTTATAGAAGATATAGATTCAGCATAATCAACAAATTCAATAAATCCATCGTCAGTTGATAAAGCTAAAACTCTGTATAGAGTTAACTTTAAGTTTAATCCATAATTTTTCCATATGTTATCAATTATATATAAAATCTGTATTACTAAATGATCTTGTCTTAAATCATCCCCCGCTTTATAAATATATTTTTTTATTGATAACTCGTATATTTCATTATATCTTTTTATACTTTTTTTTTTTTTTACATTTCCTTTTTTAATAAAACTTACAGAAGTATTCTTTTCCATATGATCCTCTTTTTCATTGTCTTCATTAGTTTCCTCTTCGTTTTTCCCATCTTTTTGCTTTTCTCTATTTTCAAAACATTCATTTTCTTTATATTCACTACTTTCATGTTCATATTCATTGTAATACTTCTCTTCATTTTCTTTAAATTTATCTTCTTTAAAATCTCCCATTTTACGCATTATGTTTATTTTATTTTTATTAACATTATCAGAATTATCATATTCGGATTTTTTATTTTTATCAAAAGAAAAACTTTTACCTTCATTTAGTTCAATGGAAGAAATTCCATAATTTTTTATATCAATTTTTTCAATTTTCTTCTTTTTGTAAAATATGTTATTATTCTTATACTTTATATTTTGATAAAAGTAGTCAAAATCTTTTACATTGTCATAAGAATTGTATAAAGCTTTAATAAATTTAGAGTTATATGAATTATACAATGAATAATTTTTTTTATTTTTTATATTTTTTTTTAAATATTTTTGTCTATTAATGATTAAATTATGAGAATATTCATGATCAAGTTTTATTTTTTTTCTAACTAAACAAGCTATAACAATAGGATATAAAGAAGAGCGCAATACATATGACTGCTCAGGTAAAAAACTTAATAATTCTATATTGGGATCAACTGGTAAAATTAAAGGTGTTTTAATTTTTTTTATTTTTTGTTTTTGAACAATATTTATTGAATCATCTAAAATTTCAATGTTGTTATCTTCATCACTATAGGTACTACTTAGAAAAAAATCGAAATTATCATTAAATTGTAAAAAATTGGAAAAGAAAGAATTATCTTTGCTTTTTTCTATTCTTATGTTTTTTGAATCATCAATATAATTAATTAAACTACTTGATTCATTACTAATATCAGAACTTAATCTTTGATTAAGATCTTTTTTATATTGAAAAAAATAGATATCTTCATTTATGTCATAATTAATAGTTAGTTCATTATCTAAATAATAAATAGAATTACTGATATTATTTTTTCTATCATTACAATCAAAGTATTCCTTATCTTCTATATTATTTTGATTAGTATTTTCAAGGGATTTTTTTATGCTATTATCGTTACTATTTTCTATACGGCAAACATACACATTTTTATCTTCATTTACAAAATCTTCTTTGTTAGTATCTTCAGGAAAAATATTCTTTTTAACTATTTTAGATAAATAATTTTGTCTATGATAATTTTCTTTTGAATTTTTTTCTTCATTTTTTATTTCTTTTTCTAAATTTAAACTTAATTCATATGGAATATTACTACTAAGAATTTTGTTATCGGTAGAACTTAAATGAGAAAAATCATAAATATTATTATCAGTTACAAATATATTATTTTTAATAAAGTCTTTAATATTTATATATCCATAATTTTTTCTATAATAAAATATGAATTGTCTTAATTTTCTTGTTTTGTTTTGTATGCGATCACTTTTATTTTTCGCAATCTTAGTTAAATAAAGAAGTTGATTACGAAATCTATTTTGATTTTTTAAAATTTCTAAAATTTCTTTTTTTTTTTTTAAATTAGAATTCATTAGATTGTTAATAAATAATTTATGAATATGTAAATATATATTTCCTTTTAATTTATCTTTTGTTTCACTTAGAAGAAGCCAATGTAAATATATAGACAATTTTTTAGATTTAACACACTTATGTATTAACGTATTTATGAATAGATTATCAATATTTTCATAATTAGAAATTCTTAAGCATTGTACTAGCTGAAATAAATATAATTTTAATTGATCTTTTTTGGTGTTTTTTATAATATCAATAATATATTTTTTAATAACATTATGATGCAAATATGAATGAAATAATTCAAGGCAATCTTCTAAGCAAGGTTTTGGCCACTTATTTAATAAAATAATTGCTTCTTCTTCTTCATCTTTGTTTTCCCAGTTTACACATTTTAAAAATTTTCCAAGAGTTTCCTTTCTATTTAAAAGATGAAAACGAAACTTCCATATACAATCTTTTTCATATTCATTCATTTTTATTAATGGTATATTTAAAATAGTACTTAATGTTTTTATTTCATTAATGGTAGGTGTTAACACAGATATATATTCAAATTTTTCCTTTGATAAAAAATCAAAGGGATAATCGTCATATCTATTTTTATTTGTTATATTAATATTTTTACTTATACGGTTTATATATTTACTTATATGTTGAAAAATATCATTTAGTTTTTTCTCCTTCATTTTCGAATATGATGTATCATTGCTATTTTGAGAAAAAATGTCATTTGATTCTAATAAATTATCACTTTTTTGTGTTTTTTCTTTTTTCTCATTATTATCTTTATTATATATTTCATTCATTGTGTCTATTTCATGTGTGTTATCTTCTTTAGAAATATAAATATTACCATAAC